TTTTTTTGGTACCGGGAATTGAACTCTGGTCCTTGTGCTTGCAAGGCAGGCCACTGAACCACTGAGCTAGATCCCCGGCCCCTCTTGGAAGATTTGATCATGCCATCCCAGGCTGTCCTGGATGTCTGAGCTGAAACTCCACACATGTGAGTGAGGCCAGCCCAGATCAGAAGAACCACCCTACCAATCCACAGAATCATGAGATATAGTGTATCTTGTTCTAAACCACTATGTTTTGGGGTGATTTGTTATGTAGCAAATACATCCTCTCTGACACAGAGGGGATGAAAAACTGTAGTAAGGTCCTGAGTTGGTACGACTTTTGAGGAAGAGGTGGTGGTTAGGGAGTGGCAGGAGCATTTCTGGTAGAAGAGACAGAGTCAGGCAGAAAGCAAATGTGGCACATTCAACAGCTGTGTGCTTTGGCTCCACTGGACCATAGGAACAGAATTGGGAAGTGTGGAAAGTACAGCTTAAGGCATGAGTAGGGGCTGGATCAGGAAGGACTTTCATTTTATCCTGAGGTCTATGGGGGAAACCAGAGAAACGTTTCAAGAATCGAAGAGACATTATAGATTTGCATATTCAAAAATATCAAAGCTATCATCACAGTCAAAACTATCATTAATGGGACATTTGCCATGTTCTAGGCACTTGAGGTATGCATGGCAAAATGGTTACCCTGGTTGCATGGTTGAAAATGGATTGGATATGGGCAGAGGTAGATCAGCCAGGAGGTCACTGTAGGGATTCAGGGGACAGGAATGATAGTTAACCAAGGCAGGGGTCACTGGGATGGGAGATGAGGGGACAGGTAGGAGTGGTGCTTAGGAGACAGGACTTCCTGGAGACCACATCAGGGGTGTGAGGAAGGAGGGGTCAGAGGTGACTCTTAAAAGTCTAGCTTAGGTGTCAACAGCACTGTGGATTCTCTGACAAAATATGTACAAATGTAGCTCCCAGGATTTGAAAGGAGCTTAGAGACTATCAATCTTATCTACTTCATTTGTCACTGATGATTCCCAAATTGATTTTAGGTGATACAGGTTTATAGAGACAAATCCGTTTTTTATGACTAGGACATTATTTATATTATTATTTTATGTATTCATATATTATATATTATATTTATTATTATTATTAGGAACTGCAGGCACATAAAACCCATGATTTCACATATGTTGCTTATCAAAAGACTACACTGGTTAAAAAAATTAGTTGATGTAAATAAAAACATTAAATCCATAGGAGTACAGATTGTTGAGTGACTTCACTGGTTTCCAACTTGTCTTAGTCTCCTGAGACCGCAGGCTCTTAAATAAGTCACAGGAAGTGAGTTTAGAACTTACAGATAGGCAGCAAGGCCAAATAGAAGCCCAGCAGTCATTTCAAGTCAGGCTCCCAAGCAAAGTTGTCCAGAGAGGAGAGAGTCCTGACTGTGTGTACCCCCCACTTGCACTGCTGCTGAGAGACCCTGAGAATCCTGTAGCCTGGGGTTTTATGCCCTCGGGTCACCTGAGTCACTGGGTAAAAGAGTGGAGAGACATCTTGATCTAAGGCAGCAGTGGCGAATCTATAGCACGTGTGCCACAGTGGGCATGCAGAGGCCTCTCTGTCAACACACAAGCCAAGTGGATGAGTTGTTTCTTCTAAAGTAAAACCTCATTATTGAGGTTTAATTGCAGTGTTGGCACTTTGTGCGATAAATAAGTGGGTTTTGGGTTGCAGTTGGAGCACTCAAACCTCTAAAAGGTTTGCCATCACTGATCTAGAGGAACCGGAACTGAGGCCGGTTATTCTGGCCTTTCCTGCCCTATCTCAGGATGCTGCATTCCCAGAACATTCTACAGTTGTTCTTGAGAACCACAAACCAGAAAGGTGAGGAATCAGTGGGCCCAAGACCATACAGAGAATGGTCCTGTGTGGGTGTACAGACCTGGCTGAGATGAGGAATGAGGGAAGTTCTACATGCATTACTGCACTCAAAGTACGAGTCTGGAGAGGATTCCAGTAAGTGCATGCCATTCTTTAAGTGTCCCGGGCACAACAGAACTGCTATAGAGTCCCAGTGTCCTGTGGATCTGCCCTATTGGTCTTTGGGACCTGACAAGGACAGCACTACCTTAGAGTAGCCTTCAAAGCCAGAGGTAGGTGTCCAGGGGAAGGATTAAAGTGTAGGACTCTAGTGAGACAGGAAAAATGAAAGTGGCAACTCCCCGGAGGCCTTCAGAAGTCTCAGGTGCATGCAGATGATCTTGTCCTCACCCGCCCGCTTGCCTTTTGTGCAGACATCTCTGTGCGCATGACAGTGACTTTGTCACTGGAAGGCACTAGAAGGCATGACACACATCCTGCCTGTGGGATCCCACAACCTCAACTGTGGGCATTTAAAGGGCAGTGCTGGGTACCACTGTGGCTGCCCTGTGGGTGCTTAGGCTTAGCTGGGCAGCTGGGCAGGATTAGCTCTGCAGTTGGGCAGGCTGCCCCAGCCACTGGGTGGTGGATTCCAGGGACGCGGCCTTTCCTGATGGGCTGGGCCGCCCTTTGTGAAAGTCCCTAGCACAATGCAACATGTAATCCTACAGACCTTCCCTGCAGAGGCAGGCGGGCACCAGCGCGCTTGGCTTCCTGTCTTGCTTAATGGCTTGAATGGGTGCTAGGCCTGCTGTTAATCCCCCAGCAACTGCTTGTCCCTGGTGGAGGAGGAGGGAGGGGAAGACAGCAGCCCTCAAGTCTCCCCTGTAGGCAGGAAGCAAGTGGAGCCTATCCCTTCAGTTCTGCCTACCCCACAAGGGCCAGGAAGAAGATGAGCAATGAGGTCGCTTAGAGGCAAGCGCCCTCTTGGAACACTCTGTCCTGTCCCCAGGATGGTGCTTGGCCAAAACTCATGTGCCAAGGTGACAAGCAGGGAGCTAATGGTGGAGAAGAACTTCAAGGTCTCTGCACATCAGAACTGGAGCACCCTTGGGGATGCCACTCCCTTTCATTTTATAAATGAGGACAATGAGCCTCCTGTGAGGCAGGAACAGGTCAAAGATCACACAGGAATAAATGGAAGACATAACTACAGAGCCTCTTCAATATGTCAGCAACTGTCCCTGGAGCATCTCCAACCACTGAGAGATAGCACTCCTGATGGAGTTATGTGATCAGATGTGCTGAGAAATCCTGTGCGTGAGCAGGCACACAACAAAGCAAAGGCCCTGAGAAGTCCTGCAGTATGTCAGCCTGATTGCCATTAATGCACTATTCGCAGACATACTTGATAGTGTTTTTCTGTTTGCCATGATAGCTTCTCAGATAAAAGCAGAATTCTGAAGCACACTACACCCTGCTGTAAACTTTCCAGGTTTGGATTATTACTAGTTGCATTCTACTACAAGTATCTCTACTAAGCCTCCCAAAGATCTATTACTCAGATGGGTAATAGAACCTCACCATTGCAATCATGGAAACCGACATGCATGGAACTAACTAATTGGCTCAATGTCACACAGCAAGCTATCCACAAAACTGGGTATCCAGTGGATGTCTGCCTAGACTTAACTCCAGTGCCCTGAATCTTGTCACACTCCCTTTTCCTCTCCTCTTTCCAGTCAGTCTGATAACAAGAGGCAAAAAACCATTGAG